CCTCAACTAATGCCTGTTGAAAACAGGATCAAACACCCATACATAAACACTGAGTTGAACTAGAACCCAGATGCAGATGGAGAGGACAAGACCAGGCGGCAGAAATACATAGAGACAGCTTACCTTTACAAGGAGGAGCTAACGGCCACTAGACTGATAGCTGGGAAGCCAGCATGGGACTGACTCAGGCCCCCCTGAATATGGGTCTCAGCAAGAAGGACTGAGCAGTCTAAGAGACCTCAGACAGTGGAGCCAGGATGTATCCCCTGGTGCACAAAAGGACTTTGCGAACATATCCCCCATGGAGGGATAACTGCCTTATTCTAGAGACAGGAGAGAAGCCCTAGTCCCTACTTCAAATGACCTGTCAGATCTACATGACCGCAACTGGATGGCATTCCCCTACATATGGAATTGGGGTGGGGGATGGGAGGGGAGGGTGGCTAGGGTGCATGTGAGAGGGCAGAGAGGGTAAAAGGGAGGGAAGGAGGGAGGGAGGGAGGGAGGGAGAGGGAACTGGGATTGATGTAAAATAATAAATTAAATTAAAAAAATGCTTTGACTCCAAAATTTAAGTTGAAGGACAAGTTACTGGGGAAAAGGATTTCTATTTTTGTTTCCACAGAAAATGAAAAGATGTGGATTCCTTCCAGACTAATGTGTTTTGATCATGCCAGACTGCCTGAAACAGAGTACAAGGTGATCCTACATTCAAAACAGCTGGACAAAACAGCCCTATAGACTGCAGCCAGGATATCTGAATCTTCTTCGAATCCCCCATGACAGCGCCCCTTACCAGCAGGAAGTAGTTTGGAAAGAACGATGCCCAAATTCCCAAATATTGTGTATAAATGTTTGTTTTCATTTAATTGGACTTTGTTATATAAAATAAAATAATAATAAAATAACATTGAAAAAAAGAAATGCAATTCAGTGAGTTGTAATAAGAGTTATGAATTAAAATATAACAAAACAAAAAGAGCAAAAAAAAAGCAGAAGGTAAACATTCAAAAGGGAAACTACCATGGACCTACATAGAGCATCACCATAAACAATAAACACATAGCATGTTCTCTTTATAACAGTTCTGGCTGTCCTAGAGCTCACTCTGTAGACCATGCTGGCCTTGAACTCTCAGAGATCTGCCTGCTAGGATTAAAGGCATGCACCACCACTGCCCAGCCAAGAAGCATGTTATTAACATGTGCAGAGGTAAATTTAGTCTGTAGGAGGTGCCCAGATTATTTTGACCCAGCCAGGTTGCCCAAAGAAACCCCAAATACATGCCTGTTTTCTGAACCCTCCTTGAGGAAACTGACCTTCCTCACTGCTCCTGCTCCAGGGTGCTCACTTCAGGCTCTTTTGGTGGCTTGACTACTGCTCGGGGTCCCAATGTCATGGTCCTGTTCTCTGTGTGGAAATTGGGAGGGGTCTGGCTTCTTATCATAGGGGCCCTGATGTGGGATTCCTGTATGCTGCAAATATGTGTTGCTTTTATTGGTTGATGAATAAAGCTGTTTTGGTCTATAGCAGGAAAGAATATAGCTAGGAGGGAAATCCAAACAGAGATGCAGAGAGAAAGAAGGCAATCTGGGAGATAGCAGTAGCCGCCGGAGAAGCAAAATGTGAGGTAATAAACCACAAGCCTCATGGTAAAATATAGACCAATAAACATGAATTAATTTAAGTTATAAGAACTCGGTAATAATAAGCCTGAGCTAATAGATAAAAGTTTGTAATTAATATTAAGCTTCTAAATGGTTATTTGGGAACTGGGAGAGAAATGTCCAGTTGTAGGGGCCTCTGCTATCTAATAAGGAGAGAGCATACTTGAGCTTCCTTAAGCTGTTAGCTGAGCCTAAGGAAAGGGGAAATAATTCTTCCAGTTGCAACAAAGAGAAAAGTCAAGTTCAATCCTTTCCTATTAATAGTTTATGTCGCCTTCTCTAACAGTAACTTATACAATTGGAAGACCCACAAACCTATCATCTATTTTCAGAGAAGCCACAGGCCCTTATCAGACTATTAGAAATTGTTTTAAGGTAAACGTTTCTGCTGCCAGGCCTGAGTACCTGAGTTGGATCCCAGGGACTGAAATTATGCATGGAAAGAACTGAATCCACTGAGTTGTCCTGTAACCTACACACAAGTGCTGTATGTATGCCCCATCCACAAATACATGTAAATTTTTAAAAGATTCTAATGAGCTGGTAAATGGCCCGCATCTGTGTACCCCAACTTGTCCCTTCCTGATTTGCTATCCACCCATGTGACCCAAGCTCCTCCCCTTCCATGCTTGCTCTACCGGGCCCGTTCCTACATTCCCACTCCTTGCATATGGAGCCGGGGTCCAACACACAAATCTGTGCCCCTCGCACGAGGAGCCACTACCCATATCCAAGCCCTTCCCCTCAAGGTACCGCCCCACCACAGGATGTCCCGCCCCCATGAGGATTTCTTCCGCACTTGGAAAAGAGCCTAGCAACCCATTCACACATGCGCACACCATTCAGCCAATCAACGAGGCTCTTGCTTGAGACTTCTGTTTAAATTCGGTTTCCTCAGAAGGTCCGCGCCACAGTGAAGCTGAGCAGTTGGCTGAAGCAGACCGGAGCGCTGAACGGAGTTGTGAATGTGGTAACTTGTTCAGAGACCGGTAAACGTGATTCAACCCAGGGGGTCTGGTTCAGACAGGAGGAAGGGATGAGTATGAGGAGGAGGACGGGGTGTGAGGAGGAGGAGGACGGGGTGTGAGGAGGAGGAGGACGGGGTGTGAGGAGGAGGGAGGAGGACGGGGTGTGAGGAGGAGGAGGACGGGGTGTGAGGAGGAGGAGGAGGACGGGGTGTGAGGAGGGAGGAGGACGGGGTGTGAGGAGGAGGAGGAGGGACGGGGTGTGAGGAGGAGGAGGACGGGGTGTGAGGAGGAGGGAGGAGGGACGGGGTGTGAGGAGGAGGAGGACGGGGTGTGAGGAGGAGGAGGACGGGGTGTGAGGAGGGAGGAGGACGGGTGTGAGGAGGAGGAGGACGGGGGTGTGAGGAGGAGGAGGACGGGGGTGTGAGGAGGAGGGAGGACGGGGTGTGAGGAGGAGGAGGAGGACGGGGGTGTGAGGGAGGAGGAGGGAGGACGGGGTGTGAGGAGGAGGAGGACGGGGGTGTGAGGAGGGAGGAGGAGGACGGGTGTGAGGAGGGAGGAGGACGGGGTGTGAGGGAGGAGGACGGGGGTGTGAGGAGGAGGAGGGACGGGGGTGTGAGGAGGAGGAGGAGGACGGGGTGTGAGGGAGGAAGATGGGGTGTGAGGAGGGAGGAGGACGGGGGTGTGAGGAGGAGAGGAGGACGGGGGTGTGAGGAGGAGGAGGACGGGGGTGTGAGGAGGAGGAGGACGGGGTGTGAGGAGGAGGAGGACGGGGTGTGAGGAGGAGGGAGGACGGGGGTGTGAGGAGGGAGGAGGACGGGGTGTGAGGAGGAGGAGGGACGGGGGTGTGAGGGAGGAGGAGGAGGACCGAGTGTGAGGAGGAGGAGGACGGGGTGTGAGGAGGAGGGAGGGACGGGGTGTGAGGGAGGAGGGGGGAGGACGGGGTGTGAGGAGGAGGAGGACGGGGTGTGAGGAGGAGGGAGGGACGGGGTGTGAGGAGGAGGAGGACGGGGGTGTGAGGAGGGAGGAGGGAGGGAGGACGGGTGTGAGGAGGGAGGAGGACGGGGTGTGAGGGAGGAGGAGGACGGGTGTGAGGAGGGAGGAGGGACGGGGTGTGAGGAGGAGGAGGACGGGGTGTGAGGAGAGGAGGAGGACGGGGGTGTGAGGAGGAGGAGGACGGGGTGTGAGGAGGAGGAGGACGGGGTGTGAGGAGGAGGAGGACGGGGTGTGAGGAGGAGGAGGACGGGGTGTGAAGAGGAGGATGGACTGGGGAGGGGAGGGTGCGACCCCTTGAGGGAGGCCAAATCCCCAGGCGACATTTTACCTGAGACGCCCATCGCACTTGGCATTGTCCGGGGCCGCAGGCAGGAAAATGGAGGTGGCGAACAGGGGAAAGGAAAAGTTTAGATGGCAACATGAATAGGGGAGACAGGGGACCTAGTATCTAGAAGCAAAGAGAAGCTAGAGGGAGGATGAAGACATAGAAAAGGGCTGGAGGCCAGTTGGCGTTCCCTTGTGAGAAAGGGTGAAGAGGAGCCAGTGGAGTAGTTAGGAGTTAGGGGGAAATTGGGGATGAGGAGAAAAAGCTGGGGAGCTAGAAAGAAATACAGGGTGAGGAGGATTTGGGAGGTGAAATGAGAGTGTGGATGTCCCACCTGTGGAGGGGCAGGGTTAAGGAGGAGCTGGAGAAGGGCTAGACAGGAGGAAGAGTAGCTGGGGAAGGGTGAGGAGCAAGGAGGACGTGGGTGCTGAAGATTTAGGCAGGGGTATGGTGGCGCAAAGGAAGGTAAAGGACAGGCTGAGAATAAGTTGAAGTTTAGAAGGAGCTAGATGTGAGCAGGTGATGTGGAGGGGCTAGAAGTAATGATGGTAAACTGGAGAGGGATTAAGGATAATGAAGACTTTAGGAGGATGAGGAAGCTTTGGGAAAGAGTGAGGGGCAGCTGTAGAGGGGTAGCTTTTAATATTTTTATTTTGCTAGGGGGAGATTTTTGACATGCTTGTGATCTATTTTGCCAGCAGATTTTACTTTGAAAATGACATACAAACATACATATTTGTTAAAATTTATTAAGAATGTGCAAAAATTCCAACAAAATTCAGTTCATCAAGTGCATAGGTGCAAACATTTGTAGTCTAGGTTAAACCACCCTTGTTTTAACTTCTTTTTTACATTGAGAATTGCCATTTTTTTTTTCACTTTGGATCCAATAAAGTAAGAAAACTGTTAACACTTTATTCAAATAAGAACATCTCAATTTTTATATGATAATCTTCTCACTTTATTCCCTGTGCTTTAAAATAGAAAATATACAGTTATGTTTCCCCATGCAAGACGGGATTCTGAAGAACCTGACAGCCCGGAAGAACCCCTAGTTTATAACTTTGAGGATGAGGAGCAAGAAGAGCTCAGTGCTTCACAGAGGAGCTATATTCAAGGTATAAGATGTCAAATGTTGGGGGCTGGCAAGTCGACTCGGGTGGCCAAAGTATTTTCCATATAAGCCAGAGGACCTGAGTTTTGATCCCAGAACCCACACAGTAGAAGGAAAGCAATCTACTCCAGAAAGCTGTCCTCTGACCTCCATGCTGATACTAATAATTATGTAAAAAAAATTTGAAGGTACCAAATATTGACTATTGATAATGTCCCTCAGTTCTTTTGTTTTGAACCTAAAACACTTAAAATTTGCTAATTTATTCAGTCTACTTTACTATCTTCTGCTCTCCATATCCTCATATTTATTTTCTAGAAATCTGTGTAGTGTGCCATGGCTTTGAAGTCCTAACATGTTGATCAATAAATAATACATAACTTGGTATGTAATCTTATCCTAGAGAGACTTCAAAATTTGTTCCTACAAATGGTCATGAATCATGATTTAACTTTATTTAATATTCAAAGAAAATTTTATATTTTCTAATATCTAATACAAAAGCTTAAGTTGTTAAAATGTCTAAAAGAACCTCAAGTGCACTGTTTCATTGCAATTTGTTAAAATAGTATACTTACTTTCAAACATGTTTTTCTTTTCTTTTTTTTCTTGTCAACAGAACTGAGTTCAGCAAGTGATTCACATGGGAAGAAAAGTCCTATAGAACTGTTTGTTGATATGGGGTAATATATTAAAAATAATTTTGTCTGCTGAAAAATGCACTTCAGGAATTGTTTGCTTTGTTTATGTAACAGGTAGTATGTATAAAATACTTAACATTTTCTACTTCTTCCAAACTATTATATCTTATGAATTCTTAACTGAACAGTTTTTGTCATTGTGTTTGATATCTAACAGGGGGTTCTGTGAATGCTTGGGAAATGCTGTATTACTGAACTATAGTGCCAGCTTTAATTTTTTTAAAATTTGATTTCTTCATAGGGAAAAGGTAGAGGTAATTCTTGGAAAACTTGGAGGTATGTTTTTGGAGATAGTTATATTTTTATAAAATTGTTTAAAGCCATATAATAACTTGTATAAAATATGTGTTAACCAGTATATTATATGCCTGTTCTTCAGTGCTTTGTTCTCATTTATAATATTTTTCATAAATATTTGTGATTTAGCGTCATAGAGAGACTTCCTTATAGTTTTCCATGGTGAGAGAAGTAAAAATGACACTTTCCCTCATAGAGACAGTCTCACTATATAACTCTAGATGGCCTGGAAATTGGTATGTAGACCAGGCTGGCCACATATTCACAATTATCTGCCTGCCTTTGCTTCTCTAGTACTGGGATTAGTAGTGTATCCTGTCATTTTTTGCTACCACAGAGTATTTGAAATTTAAAACTTTTGTATGAACGGCTTGCTGTACATACTGATAAAATGCCCTAATAAAGACTTAATGAATTGTAAATAGCCACCAAAGCATACAAACGAGTATATGCCAGGCAAGTGTTTACCAACTGAACTACATCCCCAGCTTCTCATTCACTATCTGTTTTTACAAATGATTTTAATAATTAACCTTTCTAGATTATATTTTTAATAAGCTATCTTATTCCATGCTTTCTAATAAGAATTCAGGCAAAAGTACCCTTCTAATATAGAGTGTTTATAAATTTAGAAATAGTTAGCCTTTACTTAATTATTTTCTTATAGTCTATACTTCCCCTTTATATCTTAGTTCATTTTTCTAATCTCTAAAAACATCTTCAGTTAAGAATATACTAATTGCCATATGGCTATTCCAAATGATAGGAACTCGAAATGTTTCAGATTTCAGAGATTTTTGATTTGAAAGTTTTCATAGAATTTGCTGATTTAGCAGACCTGGTCAAAAAAAATCCAAAATCCTAGGTGAAAGTTGTATCATGATGACACTGTTTTTAAATTTAGTTTTAAATGTTTTGTTATTGATGAGTGAATATTACTTGAATATGTAGGAACAAAGTAATTTTCTTTAACATTGAATTTTAATGAACATTAATTTTTAATACAGCTGACATTAACCGTGCTCTTAATGCTAAGAGACAAAGAATGGAAACAAATACCAGAGAGTCTTTTGAAGGAATTGACCAGAAAATGCAACAAGCTTGGAACTCACATGAAGATGCAGTGTAAGGTTTTTTTTTCTTCTAAAAACCGTATTTTTTTTTTATCAATTCATATATATATATATATATATATATATATATATATATATATGTAAATCACTTCAGAAAAATGCAGTCTTTTTCTGTTTGAGTCTCTAGTGAAAATATTTGACTTGAGTTTTCTCTAGACAGGTGCCTGTATGAACTCCTACCTTTATAGAATTGCTTCACAGAAGCCAGTGAAGATTATGTTCTTCTCTTTTAAGTAACAATTGAGGAGGTTTACTACTTTTGTGGTTTTTTATATTCACTCTTGAAATTAGTTGGATAAAATTTAATGCATAAAATCAGTTAACCATGGCTGATGCTATAGAGAGAGGCCAATTTGGATATGTTAAACACTTAGCTTTTGCTTTGTACTAAATTGTGGCTGTGTCAAAATGGAGAATGGGGAACTTAGTGAAATGTTTTTGCATGTAAATCATTTAATATTTTTAAAACTCTATATTCAGTAGAAAATGAAAAATAAACTATTTGGAGGTAACATTATTTTTAAAATAGATATATATGATAAAACTTCCATAGTTTTCAAAGGCTACTGTATGAGAGGGGAACTTTTATGTTGGGGAAAATGTACTTCAGGAATCAGTATAAATCTAATTTTACTTCTGAGTTTTCCATCATAATATTTAAACTGCTATTATTTACTTTTTATATTATGAGAGTGTCTCAACTACATTTTGTCTTGAATGTTTTCATATTAGTATAAGAAGTGACATCATTCATTATTATGTTTTACAGGACAAAGCTTAATGAAGACTCTGCTCAGTCATTTATGAATCTGTTTGAGCAATGGAATTTGGATTTTCAGAAATTTCGAGAAAAACATGAAAAGCTAATGGTTTGTTTCACAATTATAATTAATTTGTTATAGGTAAATCTCAAGAATAGAGAACCTGTTCTTATGTTACTTACTTGAACAACCCAGGTTTGTTTAGAGATTGCAAGTTCCAAGAATAAATGATGTCTTAAAAATAATTCCTTACCTTCTATGGCTTGTAATTTTAAGAAGCTAATGAAGGAGATTCATAATATGTTAGTGGTAAAAGAATAACTTAAACTTAGGCATAATAGTTATTAAAGAAAAATATTAAAGGCAGTCATTTTAAAATTTTTTTCTGAGTTTAAAATAGAACATTAAACTGTAGCTCAGGACAGTGTTTGCCTTGCCCACTACAACAACCAACTTTTACCAAACTGTTAATGTCGTTTTTTCCTTTTGTATTTGTAGCAAGATTTTCAACATGAAGAAAAGATTTTTCAACAATGTAGACTTATTCAGAACCAGAGACTGAGAACAATTAGACAAGTACATGAACAGTTCTTAAAGGTATGTTATACATATTAACAATATGTTCTTTAAAATATAACACATATTTTGCCTTATAAGAATAAGATAATTTCCACTTTAAGTTAATTGTTTCTAATTGATGTGGTAATTAGATATGTAGAATTTTAATGTTTTATGGTGGCTAATTGAGACAGAAAGTGGTAAGTGTGAATTTTCCATAGATAAGTGTGAATTTTCCATAGATATATAATTCACATTTATTAATAGCCATACTTCAAGTCACATTGACTTTAGTCATAGATTATAGCCTGATGGTTGGGAAAATTACTAGAAATGTTCACAATTATCCCAGACTGATAGCTGGGAAACCAGCATAGGACTAACCCAGACCCCTTGAATATGAGTGTTAGTTAGGAGGACTGGGCAGTCTATGGGGCCTCTGGTAGTGGATCAGTATTTATCCCTAGTATACGAATGGATTTTGGGAGCCCATTCCCCATAGAGGGATACTCTCTCAGCCTAGACACATGGGGGAGGGCTTAGGCCCTGCTCCAAATGGTACTGCAGACTTTGAAGATCTCATATGGAAGGCCTCACCTTCCCTGGGGAGCAGAAAGGATTGGATGGGGGTTGGGGGTAGGAGGGGAGGGAGAGGGAACTGGGATTGACATGTAAAACAAGCTTGTATCAAATCTGAATTTAAAAAAAAAAAAAGGAAAAAAAGACATTTACAATTGGATAGGAAAGGGTAAACTCAACAATTAAAGGAATATTTACAATAAAACAACAACAAAAAAAATGTTCACAATTGTGATATTTTCTGAGAAGACCGTGTGGTCTTTCTATTGCTATATTTTTCATTATCTCGAAGAAAAAGGATCCATATTGCAAATGCTAGCTTTTAGGCTTTCAGTCCTCCCAGTGGTGCTTGCAAAGTTTGTGATACTGTACCCAATTCTCCCCTCTCCAGGTCCCATGTTTATCTTAACATTCACTAAAGCTATTTCTTGAGCAAAGTGTACTATTGTATCTTCTATAATTATATTTGATTGATGTGTGAGTTATTTTGCATTGTAACAGTAGGAATTTGGGTCTTCGTATATTAGAATGTTTTTTTACTTGAAATCATGTATATTACTTAATTATTTAAAATTCTCTTGAAATTTTACTTTAAAATTTAGAACTTGAGATGGAAAATAATGTGATAGGCCTAAACTCAACTTTTGTGTTTAGAATCTGGAAGACTTGGAGAAGAAGAATGATATGCTTTTTCTCGGTACCCAGAATGAACTTAAAGAAGAAATGAATAAGCTGCGAAGAAAAATTATGAAAGAATCTGTAAGTTACATTTCAAATTGGAAAGATGAAATAATTAATAAAGCACTGAAATATTTTATTTCATGATGTATAAATGACATGGAACTAGGAAATAAACCTGTTTACTGTCTCTTTTCCTTAAACAGCAACAGCAAGAGATGGTTAATGTTCGACAGTCTCTTCAGTCCATGCTGTTTTGATGGGAAGAATATTTGAAGAAGGAACTTAAACCTAAGTGATACAATTCAAATGCCAGCTTTCAGATAAATTCTAGTTTAAATGGCAAGGTCTTTAGTAATTAACTTGTTCACCTCGTTCTACTTTATTTTGAATAAAATCCAGTTATGTTGAGTATCAACTATCACTATATGTCAAGGTTTTGACTCTTTTGTTATAATACAGTGAATTTTTCTTTATGACATTGTTAATTGTTTCAATAAAATGATTTGTTTGAATATTGGTTTTATTATTCAGTATGTCAGTCCCAAAGGTACAAAGGGAAGGTATAGAAAGTTACATTGGTTTTATTTATCTTTTTCTGATAGGGTCTTACCATGTTTGTCATGATGGTGTCTAACTCTGAACTAAAAAACTCAGGTATAAGCTCAGGTAGTCCTTGCACCTCAGCTTCTAAAGTACCTGAGATAACAGGTGGGCACCACTATGTCTAAGTTACATTGTTATTTAAGGAAAAATCCCTCCAATCCATCTTCCATACTTAACTGAATTGCATAGCCCATTCTAAGAAAATGTGCTAAAGAGCTTGCATTCATATCTTGGAATTAAACAGTTAAGACATTAATCAAGTTGACAATTTATACTAGGTCTTGTTTTGATTTTGTCTGAGACAAGGTCTTTTCTTAAAAGCTATATTAATTTTTATTTTTTCTCCTTTTTTGCTTATACTGTTACTTATTTAAACTAGAAACAAACTTATTTTACATATCAGTCCCAGTTCCCTCTCCCTCCCATCCTCCAATGCCCCACCCCACCCTTCCCACCTCACTCTCCATCCACTCCTCAGGGAGAGTGAAGCCCTCCATGGGGCAGGGCCTAGACCCTCCCCCCTGTATTTAGGCTGAGAGAGTATCCCTCCATAGGCAATAGGATCCCAAAGTCCATTCACACACTAGGGATGAATTCTGGTTCCACTGTCAGAGGCCTCATAGACTGTCCAGGCCTCCTAACTGAGACCCACATTCAGGGCACCTGGTTCCATCCACTACTGGATGGAAGCTCTAAGATGGCACTTACGGGGATGATTAGAGGAGAACAAGAAAAGAGATACGTTAATAGTGAGAGCCATCATAGGTTTAAAGATAAATCTGGCACTAGGGAAATGTCCAGAAATCCACAAGGATGACCCCCAACTAGGAATGTAAGCAATAGTGGAGAGGCTGCCTTAAATGCCCTTCCCTGATAATGAGAGCCCATCCTAGAACCTTCATCCAGTAGCTGATGGAAACAGAAGCAGAGATCCACAGCTAAACATTGAGCCCAACTCCTGGAATCCAGTTGCAGAGAGGGAGGAGTGATGAGAAAATGAATCAGGACCAGGCTACAGAAACCCACAGAGACAGCTGACCTGAGCAAGTGGAAGTCCAATGACCCCAGTCTAACAGCTGGGAAACCAGCATAGGACTAAACCAGGCCCCCTGAATGTGGGTGACTATTGTGAGGCCTGGACAGTCTATGGGGCCTCTGGTAGTGGATCAGTATTTACCCCTAGTATAAGAATGAACTTTGGGAGCCCATTCCGCAGAGAGGGGTACTCTCTCAGCCTAGACACATGGGGGAGGACCTGGGCCCTGCTCCAAATGATATGACAGACTTTGAAGATCCCCATAGAAGACCTCACCCTCCCTGGGGAGTGGATAGGGAATGAGGTAGGGGGTGTCAGTCCTGGGGGCTTGGGAGAGGGAACTAGGATTGATATGTAAAATAAGATTGTTTCTAATTTACATAAAAAACTAAAAAAGAAATTAGTCTTTCGCCATCAGTGCATAATTAAGGGGCAGTTCGATTCCTTTTTTATGTGGTCTGGGATTCATCCAGTGTCTTGTCGCCCTTGTTACTGGAGGGAATCTCTTGGTTCATACAGGGCATAAAGGCCAGGTTCTTTTCATCTCTAATGAAGTACAGGTAAAGGCATAAGTTATGCTGCACAGAACAGAAATGGACCTGAGCAAAGAGTGGAGCTCAAGAGCCCCGCTTTATGTGTCCAGGTGCTTGTCATTACAACTGAGAAAGTAAAGGTTCTCTGAAAGGGTGGACCATATGTTGGCTGTTTAGGTGATTAATGTTCTTTGCTGGAAGGGTTTTGTACAATCCTCGGGGCAGTCAAAGGGATGCTATTTTTTCAGTTACTGTAATCTCCTTATGACTCATAGTCATGTGTGTCTGACCCTATTTTCCTGCCCCATTTTCTATGGCTATATTTCCATCATGAAATAGGAATCTTAAATATTTACCAAATTTCCAAGGAGGTCTTTATTTCTCAAGGTGTATAGCAGTTACAGAAGTGGAATAAGAACTTAGGAGTGTTTCTGTGTATTTAACTCGCGTGTTTTTCCTTGTAAGGTTATATTATCTCTGTTCACTATGCCTCTTCTCTGCATATATAAAGTGCATGCTTGTTACTCTCCTAACTTTCGTGTCTTTGAAAATATTCTTTCTTTATTAAAGTGACCTTCCTCATTTCATCTCTGTTTTCTTAAATGCCAAAGTTTTAAAAAAGCGGTTGCTTTGTCCCTACCACACCCCTCCTGTGACATGTAACAGTTGTTATGATACTTGTTCATAAGCCAGAAAAAATTCTTGAATATGTTCTTCAAATTTTTTGATTTCTCCAGTGTCTGAAGATGGAGGAAGAACGTACTCAAAGCCTCAATTACCATTTCAGGGCATTAGCACTAGGTAGGTAATAAAGTCTTTCCCAAATGAACCCCCGACAGTTGTGCTGAGCAATTATGACATTCCTGTATGGAATAAGAATGTGTTGGATACCCTAAGTAAGCAAGAATGGAGTCAGGTTAATGATAATGACACAATGTAAATGGCCAGTTATTGTTTGTGCAGCCGAACATTCTGTCTGAAATCTCCAAACTGTTCAAAGTAACAATTTAGGGAGTAGCTAAATAAAGGAACACATAGTATATAGTACATTATATTGGTACAGGGTATAGGTGTAAGTACCTAGGTAGGGATAGCTTAAAGTCAAATGAAACACTCATTCATTAATGTAATAAATGGGACACACACATTTCCAACTTGTACAGAACAACAAAACTCCACCAGAGGAGCATAATATGCCATTTTCTATATAAGATTTTCAGATATTTTATTAGTTATTTTAGAATGTATATTGATTATATTTAGCACCACTCCTTCCCTAACCCCTCTCAGATCCACCCCAATACTTGTACTTCCTACAGCTTCATACTCTCTCTGAAAAAATGTTGGTTCCAATTTGCACAGCCCATATACTCCTGGGTGTCGGGCCATTCACTGGAACATGCTTGACCTACTAGGGACCATATCACTTCGCTGTGATTTCTGCAAGGAGTTGGGGATCGTGTAAAAATAACGACAGTCACATGGACCTGGAGATTTCAGAGCTTCCACTTGCCTTCCTCTCCTGAGGTCAGGGTAAAAGTAGGAACATGAGCCAAGTTCCATTAAAACCTGGGCATGTGTGATTTTGATTTTATTCCAATGCCTAGATCACTGTCTGATATATAACACACAGTAACAAGAATTTACTTAAGATTAAACCAGTTCACTCCTATGGCCTTAAGTATATAGTAGTGTAAAACCCACAGGACCCTGGGGGGTGCTGTAGTAGTAGTTTCTTGTTGGGAACGCCAGATCACAAATAAAGACACAGAGACATATTATTATTGGCCTTTAGCTTAAGCTTGTTTCCACCTAGCTCTTATAACTTAGTTAACCCATATTTTAAAATCTACATTCTGCCACATGGCTCTTTATCTTTCCACAGTACAGCATGTCTGACTTGCTCTGAGGTCATACCTAATACCTCCTCTGATTTTCCCTCTGCCAGGAAATCCTGCCTATCCTCTCCTGCCTAGATATTGGCTGTTCAGATTTTTATTAAACCAACCAGAAGGTCCCTTAGGCAGAGACACGTCTTTTTTATTTTTAATTAGAATCAAGCTTGTTTTACATGTCATTCCCAGTTCCCTCCCCCTCCCTTCCTCTCCTTCCCCCCCCCAACCTGTATCCTACCCTCTTCCTGCTCCCCAGAGAGGATGAGGCCCTTCCGTGTGGGACCTTCAAAGTCTGCCATATCATTTGGAGCAGGGCCCAGGTCCTCCCCAGTGCAGAGACACATCTTTACAGTGTGCAGAAAGATTATCCCACAAGGTGCCAACTAGAAATGTAATGCAAAGGCACAGTCAAACTTGCAAACTTAGGACAGGGTTAGAGTTCACAGATACTTTGCAATGATATCACACATTGACAGAAGCCTCACAATAGTAAAAGTCTCCTGGGTATATGCCATTAAGAAAAATTAAGGACTCTCATGGGGTAGCCCAGTGGGATCTTGGAAACAGCCTTTAGATTGAGTAAGCAATGTCCCCTCCTTCATGGTGCTTTGGATTTGTTCCAATTCTTGGCTGTAGACAGGCTGCACCTCTCCCACAAAGGGGATAATGGCAACTGATTCATACCCCCATACAGCAATGTGTTTGTTTAAAAAAAAAAAAACAAGCAAATGTAAACAGCTAATAACATTCAGAACAATTTCATTCCAAGAGACTGAATGGCAAATCAACCACAGGCAAATAGTATTGCTGCTTAGACAACTCATTTATTAAAGTTAACAATGTGCAATTTGCCCCAGCTATCATGTTCTGCTGAGAAGCTAATGAATAAACAGAAACCCTATATTATGAATCTAGCCTTGTAACATGGAAGGATGGGACCTACTAGATAGATATCAAATTTAACAAACTGAGTAGGTAGTAAGAAATGAAAAAATGGTGCAGAAAAAGGAAACATTGTATATAGCATAAGGGGACTCAGACTTGAAGGCATCTATGTCTTTAAATTACCCACATTCACTTGCTGGCCTCCCTCTACATGTTGCTCAAGAGACAAACAAGGCCACTAGCACCAAATAATACATTCCTGACCATGGAAAGCAAAGAATTTAACCTAATATGAAGTGTTGTTTGGGTATGTGTCCAAATAGATCAGGCACCTTCCTAAAGTGAGTCCATACCTCCAACAAAACTACCAGGGTGCTTCCAAGTAAAAACGTATTTACCATATATTCTAGCTTACTATTTCAAATTCTTGCATTTAACCAGGCCCTGCACTACCTGTAGAAGTAATGCTGAAGAAGAAATTCAAAGGCTTGGTTCCTACGGTACTCGTACTGGGGTCATTACGACTGCCCTCCAGAAATACTGGGACTGAATGCTCTGCACTACAATCACATTGACAACATCATGAAGTCGAGGCACATATCCAGAAGGGAGTTTAAGAGAATCCAAGGTGAAAAAGATGGTGTCTTCCAGAACTCCAGTTCTGCCATCCACTCTAGTAACACAAACCTGTGATGAAAAAGGGCAGGCATGAGTGTAAAAAATCATAATCCATACTTATAGACTCTGCCCCTTTTCTCTCTGGCTTGAACCAGCAGATCCCTTCACCCCCAACACACATTCCCACCCTACTTTACACCATAGCAACATCTAGGTGCTGTTCAAGCACACCCCTGTCCAGATCCAATCACACACCAACGAAAGCAGTCCCTGAGGATGAGTACCAGGTCTCTGCTGAACAAATTCTGTTCTAAATATTACCCACAATGACTGTTAACGTCCACTTAAAGGTCACTACTTGAACAAAAAAGAGAAAAGAAGTGTGTTGTTAATGCACACAATCATTTTGCCTCTACTTCATTGGTTGCGTTAGAAGCACATTCCTTCATTTTTCCTGTGGTACAAAATGAGTGCAAGCCAACGTGTTTTCCGTTTTTACTACCCGTATCATGCCCACATACTACTGAGGCGTTTAAATGACACTCCACTCATTTTTCTTAACAATTCCAAGAAACCTGATCATTGCTTTTTGGTTACTTGCTCTTAGCACATTTTGATGCCTCCCAGATAAACTGTATAAAGTTCAATTTTCATCATCTGTACATTATTATCATCATTTCCCTTTCAGGGTTATAGGATTTTAAAGAAGAAAGCAGCTCATTTTGGCCAAGCTTTTAGTTTAGAGTTCAGCAAAAATGGTCACTACATGAAAGATCAGCGGACACAAGGGTCAGATACAGCCCATGAACTACCTCATTCACATGAAGGTGCTTCAGAGGCTTCATCAAGATGGCCTTTCTGCTGTGTGTGTCTTCCTGCTCAGCAAACTCAATTTCTACCAGGTCACCCTTATAAGGTTCAAAATCTGTAACAGTCGTGGGAGAAAATCAAGTGAGAGGAGCCTTTTATTTGGGAGGAATATGACATTTCACCATTTACTGTGATCTTATCCCTGACACAGTTTCTATTACATATAGAGCACATTTTTAACATTGAAAACCCCAGGGCTGGAGAGATAGTTCAGAGATTTTACTGCTGTTGCAAGGAACTTTAGTTCACCTCCCAGTACCCACAGCCACCCATGGCTTATCTGTACATTCTTCTGGTCTCTCTGCAGGCACCCACACACACGTAGCGTACACAAACACACACATACACATAAATAAAAATAAATATGATTTGTGTTTTTACAAAGCTAAGGTCTGAAGAGATGGTTCTGCAGTTAAAGACACTTTTTTTTTTCCTGAAGAAAGGGTTTCTCTTTGTAGCCTTGGCTGTCCTGTAACTCTCTTTGTAGACCAGGCTGGCTTCAAACTCACACAGATCCTCCTGCCTCTGCCTCCCAAGAGCTGGGATTAAAGGCATGGGCCACCACCACCCAGCTGCACTTGCTCTTTGTTCTTGCAGAGTTCAGTGTTCAGCAACCACATGGAGGCTACAGCTTCCTGTAACTCCAGCTCCAGGGCCTCTGTAGGCACCAGACATTCAAGCAGTGGCAAATACATACATGCAGGCAAAACACTCAAACACACAACATTTAAAAGATAAAAGAAAAACAGTACTGAAACAAAGTGAGGCAGTGAAATATCTGCCTAATAAACAGGAAGGAAAAAACATTTATTACTCAACATGGGACAAAACAACATGATTTTTCTTTTCCATCTTTTAGTGTCTCATTGAAGAAACTATTGAGAGTGTGGCTTACTTAGCATTTGGTTTGATTTCTAGCAGCACAATAATAATAATAATCTGCAATTTTCACTGGGTTTCATGGGATTCACTTAATTGCATTTATTCTGACTATTTTATTTATGACTGGCTGGGGCCTTTAGGACTTATTTCCAGTGCTAGGGATCATCAATACTTCTTTTTCAGCCATTGTCTTTTTGACCCTAGAAACGTCTGCTGCTATGACTAACTATTTCACAGACTAAATCTCTCCACCTATGCCTTGGGACCTATCCTCTATTTATAGATCAGGGACTCCACTCCATCATTTTTTCCTGCTCTCTTCAGCACCTTTAGTCATATCCTTTGCACTACAAACATGTCCAAGTTCTTTACACTCTGAGAGAAGTGTTTCTAGCTTTCTTCTTGTTGTTGATGACTTCCTACTTAGCAAACAGACAGGCTGATAATTTGTCTTTGGAACTTAGCAATCAGAAACAGGGACCCTTTCCACTGAAAACTGAGAATTTCTGAGAAAATGTCATAAAATCTTAAATACCACCAAGCAGTCATTTTGGAAGGGTTCCTGGGATAACAACCAAGATCATGTTCAGGTTGTTATATCCAGAATAGTAAAATAAAAAGCAGTTTTGTATACCGGGACAATGTCACTCTTTTTTATCAAAGTTAAATAGCACCTGACTAAGCTACAGTATGTATGATTTATTTTTATGTCCATTCATCTTTCAAAGTCCAGCCTGGTACGTGAAAAGCTGATGCAGGAAGATGGCATGAGTCTAGCAGTTTGATACAGAACTAGGGAGTAGAAGAAGTCCCTGTCTCAAAGTGGGGGAAATAATAATAAAGGTATCAAGTTTACATTTCATTAGATTTACATTTCATTATGCATTAAACTGCTGTTTTTCATTTTGACTCGGTTCTCCAATTTAACCATTAAAGGCATCGACACCAAATGGCAGGGTATAAAGTCCAGTTTGAATAGTGCATAGCCCAGTCAGCTTTCTGTAATTTTTGCCATCACTGCGATTCTTACTGCTTTGCCCACTGTTTCTTTGCATCAGACTATTTTAATGGACTCACACTTCTTCTCTCACAATGATAATATGAGCTCTTTATAGAAAGGTTTAATGTAGCCTTCCATATTTTGTTCTCTGGCCTCAATATCTAAAACTCTCTCCTGAACCAAATTAAAGTCCAATAGTCTCTTTAACATGTCATTGCTTTAGGTATAAAACAATAAAATGTTATATCATATAAATACAAATAAACTTCAACACAGGATACACAAACTCTCTCTCTCTCTCTCTCTCTCTCTCACACACACACACACACACACACACACACACACACAAACACACACACACACGGAAAGGCCAAGGACTATTTATAAAATATTATCTTTTCATTGATGTCATGGTGTTAGAACAGAAATTGAATGCCTCCATAAATAAAAAAGCTGTACAAATATCAGTGTACCCAAACAAATAAAAATGTAACAAATTATAGTATGAAATTTTTATGTCCCTTGCTGTGCATTATTTTCAAACTCCAATGGTACATTTAAAATATTGAAGTGCCACTGATTAAAGTATAGGATTGGGACTGTAGCTCAGGGGTACAGACCTTACCTAACAAGCAGGAGGGTTCTGAGTTCAATCCATTTAAAGATACAAGTATACTACAGTAGTAGATGTAATACAAAAATCCTCTCATCAAATCAGCATGTTCCAAATTTGACCCCAAAGATGATTCCTAAGTCCAATTTATAATACTTCAAATGGGCGATACCTAATTTAAATTTAAAATTGTGAATTGGATGGTGGTCTTTAATCCCAGCACTCGGGAGGCAGAGGCAGGCAAACTTCTGTGAGTTCAAGGCCAGCCTGGTCTAGAAAGCGAGTTCCAGCCAGGACAGCCAGGACTACACAAAAAAAAACATCCTGTCTTGAAAAAACAAAAACAAAAAAAGTAAATAAATGAAAATATGAAGTGTACCTTTACAGACAATGTCTAGAGAGAAGGACAATTCGTGGTTAATTTGGTCAGCATCATCAATTAGAGAGGTGAGCCAGTCAAGTGAAACTGTCATGTGAGAGTCTGATGGTGCATCACCAAGGCCATCACGGTAAGCATCCATCTGGAAGATAAGTGAGTAAACAAGTGAAATAAAAACTGCTGCTTCAAACTGAAGTTTAAAAAGTCTGATTTCAACACTTCAAATAATGATTGTAGACAAATGACACAAAAATTGTTATGTGATGATGAAATACTATACGAGCTTTGTATCATTTTTACTGTGATTTTACAGCAGATTGGGAGAATTCAGAAGAAGACAGAGTGGCCACGCATTCCCACTAGCCAATCTTTAGCTTCTTCTATCATTAGCATCGTGTATCGGTATCCCACATTGATTACAATTGATAAACCAGCATTAATACAGAAAAAAGGGGGGGAATAAATGCTAACATATCAGACCAGAGCATCTAGAGACACAAAAGAATGTCCAGTTAAATTTTAGAAGCTAAGCATGGTCAGGCCAAGTTTATCATGAGAGGGAAGAAAAGAAGCAAGACTAAAATCACAGTTAGGTTAGGACTTTATCTAAAGTTAAAAAGGGGGGGTATCTAAATTTTTATTTGTTGATATTATAATATTCCTTATCTAATGATTTGTTTTTCTCATTAAAAAAAATAATGTGTAAGTCCTGGTTTCAGACCTGCCACTTGATTCCTCTCCTGCCTTTCTGAGAGTCACCTAGGAGTGCTTTGATTTGCTTTGCTGTTTGTTAAATCTGGCCTTATTTCTTTAATGTAAAGAAAAACAGAAAGGCATGAAAATTACACATAGTTCAGAATCCTGTTTCCTTTCCAAGAACCACTGACCATGTTCTCATGAAGTGACCAAGATTAGATCATCTTAGCCTGACTCCATTTTGTGTCTGCTCAGGCAATTTTCTGTCCCTATTTCCCTGAACAGTCACATGGGCCTTGACCGCACATTAGGGACTTTCCATGATCTTCACCATAGCCTGGATAACTGGCCTATAGCTGATGATGATGTCATTGTGGCGTTTTACTTTTATAAACTCTGCACCCTGAGCTTCGATGCCAAGAGTTCTTCATGGCAAGAGCTTGCTTTTCATTGTCAGCTACTAAAAGACTCCCACTAGGCGTTACATGGTTAAGGATCTCTAATTTCCTTCCCTGGATTAGAACACTCATACCTAGTTTAAAGGAAAATGTAGTATTACACATGTGTAATACATATATAAACAAATGAGCACCAATAAGTCAGTTGTCTTCACTTTTTAAAAAATAACATGACGTCCCACAAAAGGAAGTGCTGTAATTTAGTGGCTCCGTTCCACACCGTTGGACATAAAACGTATAATCTAATATATACTACCTCTTTGCCTAAAAGATATACTTATGATCAGCACTCAGGAGCAGACGTTCATGCTCAAAAATTTCTAGTGAAAGCTCCCACGCTACTGGCCCCATGGTACCAGCATTTAGTGGCCCTGGGTTTTATTGTTTCCTGATCCAGCTTCGGTCCTGCTCTCACATCTGCTCTGGCTCCTGAAGGCTGCAGAAGCCCTGAGTGCCCTGGTAGGAAGTCAAAGGGAAGAGGAAGGGAAGCAATGCTGTTGGGACGGCACCAGAAAGGCTTGCTGAGGCTGTTACAGTGAGCCATACAGACAGTCTGGGATCTCATGGATGCCTGTGCAACCTGGGCCAGCAGACCAAACTTTGTTGCCTTGCAAACATGGGTGCCTTGCTCTTCTTATCAGGTCCTCTGAATGAGAAAGAAGACACCATTGTCCAGACCAACCATTTGCCCTACTACTCATTAATCCCTGGCCCCTGTAACCTCCAGCCTCAGGCTTCACCAAGAGCTCAAGCTGCTGTCTCCATCCTGGGGCAACAGCTGATGGCGCATATTGGCCAGAAAGCACCCACTGGAGTCATCCTGCCTCTTGATGAGTTCCCTGGGGCATGGAGTGAACAGGGACAAATACTGAGGCTACTTGCATGCACTTGTACCTGAACTGAATTGGCCTGTGGGACATTTTGTGTCAGCTGTTCCTGACACATGTTGTTTTTCTGTAAATGACTTACTTTTAGTTTCCTTATTTAGTTTTTCTTTTTAAAATTTTCATTTATTCTTCTCTCATACAATACATCCCGATCACCTTTGTGTCTAGCCTTATTGTGACTCAGATGTAGCTATTTACTCTGAATTGAAAGCCCTACAGAGAGCCCTACAGAGTTTCAGGGATGCAGTTTTCAGAAATCGTCACCAATACTGGAGTATACGTTTTTTGGTGACAGAGCTGACTTGAGTCACCTGTTGTCCTGTAATTAATTCTCTGTAAGAGTCCAATAAGCTCACTACATAACCAAGTTAAACTTGGGTAGAATCATTTCTTTGGTCTGTCTCAGGAGTCCTATCTGGAGTGAGTATGCTTCTGTTTCTATGTTCAGAAGGAAAGGCACGTTAGGGTAACTAAATTCATGTTTCAATGCAGCTGTCTAGAAGGAGAAAGTGTTGGTTTATCCTACCCTTGTGAAATGTGTGTGCGGTGGGGAAAAGCAGTGGGTGGGAGATGTTCATGCCCGTATGTGTGAAAAGCAGAGGGGCCACACCGGGATCTCCTTCAATTGTTCTCCACCTTATCTTTCTTTAAGACAAACCAAAATGCCATGCGTGGCTGGACTGGCCGGCCAGCAGACTCCAGGAACTGTCCCATCTCTGCTCTTCAGCACTGGGACTAAAGGTCATGCAGGCTTTTCAGTGGGTGCAAACACTTCACAGACTGAGTCATTTTTTTTCCTGGTTCTTCCTCTCATGGAAGCGGACGGCACCTTAGTACAGTTTGAAACATTTAATGGCTTTTCCATCCTCCAGATGTAGCTACAGGCACAGCACAGAAGTAACTGAAATTGTGGTATTCCCGACTTATGGGGCCTTATTGATTAACTTTGATTTGGGGGAAAATAAATGAATGAAGATGATTCATATGAATTCATTTCCCTACCTCCAATTTCCAAAACCCCAGCCTCTTCCTCTATGTAATATCCCTCGCCAGCTGTCAATACCACCCTCATCATAGTTTTTTATTCCCTCCATTTTATCCAGAAATGAAGCACCAGGCTCACATAGCTATGTGGAGATGCAGTGCACACTCTGACCTCTCAGTGCCCTGTCTCCAAACTAACAGACAGCTGTACGTGGAAGCCTGCCTGCATTTTCACTTCTTAGATGGCTAAGAATTTCAAGGATTGACAATACTTCCACTCTTGCCAAGCCTCACATCCTGCCGCTGATAGTGTCAATTAGTATACTAATAATAATAAGCTTAATTTGCACATACAGATTTAAGCGATAAGTATCTGAACTGGGGTGCTACATAGATTCTGTAAATCAAAACTATTTGAAACTTGGAGAACTCCCTGGTAAGTAAATTATACTTCAATAAAGCTATCGTTAAAAAAATATTAAAACATATGTTTTTTCGCCTAGTAACTACTTACCAAATAATACATATCTATTATTTGCATTCTAGGAGAAAGTTGTTATAATTCTAATAATTATCATTATATACAGAATAATAAAATTCTAATAATTATCGTTAAAGGCTGAGGAATAGATAATGTAATTTATACCTTTCTAAACAGATACTAGGACAAAAATAGAGCAGATGTTCCATACAACCCTCTAAATTAGACCAGTTTCCTTCCACTGCAGCATGTCTGCTAAAGAGGGACTGAATAAATAGGAGCCAGTGAGAAAGAATGCAGAAGTAAGAAAGTACCCAGAATATACAACTCTTACTGTGCTTGTATTGGATCCGTGAGTCATTTGATCTACTTCCACAACTACAGGAAGTTTTTGTTTAACTTTCAGAGCTTCATTGCCTGCCACAACATCAGCACTGAAGAGGAGGTGCTCATTAATGCTGCCATAGTCACTGCAGGACCCTGTCACAACTCCCTGCGTGTTTTGTGACATGGAATCATCTAAACAATGAATAAAGAAAAAACATATATACATATAAATTATTCTCAAGTACAAACACATACTATAAATAAGCCGTATCAGAGAAAGCTGTGATAAGTTACCATCTAAGTCTACGAGTAAAGTGATTTTGATTTGAGATAGGAATTAGGTTAGTGAGCAGTGATGAAGTCTGCAAGATTCTGGAAGGAGAGTGGCTAGGTTGAAATCCTGGTTGCACAAGGGAGGTGTGTGTGTGTGTGTGTGTGTGTATGTGTGTGTGTGTGTGGTGTTTGTTCACACGTGCACACACGAACACCTGAGTGTATTGTATGTATCTGTACTGTCATCGGAGATCAGAATACTTTGAAACCCCAAGAACTAGAGTTACAGGCAGCTGTGAGCAGCAATGTGGGTGCTGAGAAATGAACCCTGGCCATCTAAGAACCGAAAATACTACTAACTTCTGAGCAATCTCGGTAGTCCCCATTATTCTGCCTTTATTTGTCATTATTTTGTCTTTGCCTTTTGTCATTCGTTTGGGAAGGAAAGTTCTAGAACGAATCTATGCAAGAGTACCCAGCAGGTGGCGTAGGAGGGCATGGAGCAAGGAACTGGGAATGCCCTATTACAATAAGATGGCACTAGAAAGCCAGGGAGAGGTTTTTCTTTCTTTCTTTCTTTTGGTTTTTCGAGACAGGGTTTCTCTATAGTGCTTTGGAGCCTGTTCTAGAACTCTCTCTGTAGATCAGGCTAGCCTCGAACTCCCAGAGATCTGCCTGCCTCTGACTCCCGAATGCTGGGATTACAGGTGCCACTACCGCCCGGCTTGGAGAGGTTTTTCTAAATTCCTTAGACCCCAGATTGAGATGGGACATACTTCTGAGAAGGCCTTTTGGGGAAAGAATTAGTACACTACCTTCCAGGAGCCTCTCCTGCTCGGTCTCTTCCTTTGAATCCGCTTTCCTCTGAAAGAAGGCACAAAGTCTGGAAATTAGCCGGTGCATGGTTTGCTGTTGAAGCTAAGTAGTACCAGAAGTAAGGCTCTCTTTTTATCTAGGTCTCTGTCTCCCAGTAGAAGCCTAATCACAGAAGCTGTACCAGAAGCTAATCTACTTCCGTTCTGTGTTCATCGTCTCCCGCCTAATGCTCTCACGGGGCAAAACTGCCACGTGTGGAGCGCCCGTGTGCCTGCTCAACCAGCCAATAGGAGTATAGTTTACTCAATGAAGGCAACGAGCTACGAATGGTGGAATTTAACAGCTTATCCCATTGCATAGAGCTATTTTCTAGTACTGAGTCTAAAATAGACTTTATCCGTACACTTTTATATGTTTTTTTCTGGTTTTGTTTTTGTTTTTGTTTTTGTTTTTGTTTTTTTGGTTTTTTTTTTTTTTTGAGACAGAATTTAATTCTAATCCAGGCTACCTCAAATTTGTGGCAATCTTCTTGTCTCAGCTTCCCTCCTTTGTTTCTTGTCTTTTTGTTTGTTCGTTTTTTCTTTTCTATTCTTTTATTTATTTATTTATTTATTTAGAGACACGGTTTCTCTGTGTAACCCTGGCTGCTGGCTTTCCTGGAGCTTGCTCTGTAGAACAAACCAGCCTCAACCTCAGAAATCTACCTGCCTCTGCCTCCCAATGTTGGGATGAAAGGATGTAATCCTGGGATTACAAGCATAAGCTACGACATCCTACCGGATCATTTCTACTAGAGGAAAACACAGCAAACAAACGTTGCTATTTGTTTACAGCTATAAATTGTTGCTTCAAACTGTTAAAACAAACAATAGTTTCCCTACTAGAACTCCAGAAGCACCAGGGGAAAAAGCCAGAATGAGGAAATAGAATTAGACTGGGACCTATTTCAGTGGATGACTGGGTAAACAAAATTTGGTTTGTGCCTCTCTCCCCTAGGTAAGCAATGTGCTGAAAGGAAAGAAGGCCACAGGGAAAAGCCTAGCCTCTGCTGTCACAAAAAAGCAGGAGACAAAAAAAGATGGAGAATCCTCCATTTGAAGGAGAGGGGAAAAAAAACCTTAGAACTTTCTGTACTGGACAGGACATGACACTCAAAAGAGACCTTACCTGCTTTTTCAGATGGCCCCGCTTCATGCAGAAGATCTCTGTGATTTCTCAACCAGCCTGGTCTGCAGAGCCAGTTTCAGGGCAGCCATGGCTGTTAGGCAGAGAAACCCTGTTTTGAAGAACCAAAAACAAACAAAAAGAAGTTAACTACACTGATGTGTTACAGTATATCTATTTAAAAGTTTATGATTTTTAAGAGATGAGCAATAACAACTATCGCTAAGGTTATAAAGCTGTTTTAATGCTCACACAATATGAGTGAGCTTATATACAGCAGCTAAAGCAACCTTTCTCCCTGGGCTGTTCCTCAGAAAGCTAAATGTAGTATGATCACATGCTCTGATGATTTCACTTCTACATATATATCCAAGATAATGAAAGTACATTTTCATACATGCATCATATAAGGAGAACTGAACTTTAAACATTTTATTAAGAAGTCACTCAAAACTACTAGTAAATAGTAAATCTGACATGGTAGCTCATTCTTCTTATCTCAATACTTAAGAGGTAGACACAAGAAGAATTTTGGTAAAAGATTGCTGAGAGTCTGAGGTCAGCTTGCAATATATTAAGTATACAAGGAAAGAGAGGAAGAGAAAGGGGGGAACAAATGTTTTTTCCTTATTTTTTTGAGAGGCCCTCACTCTGTAGGCTAGTTGCGGCGATCCTTCTGGATCACCTCCCAGTTCTGGGATAACAGAAGTGAGCTCCAAGGCCCAGTTTGAGTTGTACTTTTTAAAAAGCTAGCTTTTGCACTATGTGAATTATATGTTATGTTAGACACTGTTTCAATGCTGTAAAAAGATGCTATGCCCAAGGCAAACTCTTATAAAAGAAAGCATTTAGCTGGGGGCTTGGTAAGAGTTTCAGAGACCGAGTCCATTATCATCATGGCAGGGATCATAGTAGCAGGCAGACTGAACTACAAGGGGAGCAGGTGGGACTGGGTGTGGTGTTGATTCCTGAAACCTCCAAGTCTACCCCCAGTGACACACATCCTCCAACAAGGCCACATCTCCTCCATCAAGGCCACACCTTTTAATCCTTCTTAAATAAGGCCACTACTTGGTGGCTAAGCAGTCAAATATATGAACATATGGGGACCATTCTTATTAAAATAGCCACATATGTCACTAAAGCTGTTATTTTGATCATAAATATTATAACAACAAATATCCGGATGGAAGAAAATAAAACCAGCATCCTATGAACTACCAATGGTGGTAGTATAATGTCCCTTTGCACATGCCTTCTTTTTTTAAAAAGTAGATTGATTTATTTTATAGTTATGGATGTTTTGCCTATAGGTATGTATGTGTACCACATGCATGCCTGGTGCTCTTGGAATCCAAAAGCAGACAATGGATTCCCTGGAACTTGAATTACAGATGGTTGTCAGCTGCCACATGGGTGCTCTTAACTGCTGAGACATTTTTTTCCAGCCCCTTGATGCTTTGATTTTAAAGAATTCTTAATAAAGTGGAATATATACAGAGGAAATTCATAATAGAAACAGATTTCACAAAGAGTAATGGAAATGAAAGTTTATTGTTAGGAGAACATACAATAAAGATATAAGCATATTCTTTGAATAATCTGAAAGTCTATATATGTTAGACTAGGAGTAATCAAACAATGTGGTAAATTTGGATTAAGGGAGTAAGACTACCATTGTAGGGACAGAAAAATCGTTCAGAAGGAAAGCAGTTTGCTACCAAGCAGCCAACCTGAGCTTATTTCCCTGAATTCACAGTGGAAGTAGAGAATAGACTCTCAAAAGTGTGTGCACATACACACGATGATCGAATTAAATTAAATAGATCTAAGAAAGAAAACCTTAAAATAACAAAATAAAACTTAAGTTCTGTCATAAGAGACAATTAAGTTTCTGTCATTAAATCTAGTACCAACTGGAAATATGTCATTTGTCAGGGATCTCCTGATACTAAGTTATGAAAGATGGGAGACATGAAACTGTATGACCGAAATTACCTTTCAAGATCCAACATTTGGTAGTTCCATGTTCAAGTTCTAAATTTTTTAATGAATTAATTTATTTATTATGTATACACTTGTCAGAATAAGACACCAGATCTCATTATAGATGGTTGTGAGCCACCATGTAGTTAATATGAATTGAGCTCAGGACCTCTGGAAGAGTGGCCAGTGCTCTTAACCTCTGAACCATCTCTGCAGTCAGTCAAGTTCTAAAATTTTTTGTCATTACCAAATTATATATAGGCTTTGAAAACATACATGTTCGTTTGTAGGCAATATACTATAAGTTCAAGAAAAAGTAAATTGAACTGAGGCATGTAACTCAGTGGTAGAGAGCTCTGGCTAGCATTCATGGATCCTAGGTTTAATTACTGGTACTGAAGAGAAAAATACGTGGGTAAAAGGTGCTTGCCACCAAGCCAGACAATCCAAGTTTCATCCTGGAACCTATAGAGTGTAAAGAGAAAAGCCACTCCTCAAACCCATCGTTCTTGCCTCCACATGTATGTGAATGCATGCACACTCGCTCTAGCTCTTGCACACTCTCCCCTTCTTGCTCATGCGCACGCGCACGCACACACACATGCACAAATAAATGAATAATTAGTAATTTAAAAAATTATGTTCTCCCTGCCCATTTGATGCTCATGCTTACAGTTGCTGCCAGAAGTCCGGGACCATGGGCTTGGGCATCACTTTGGCATACTGCCAAGCAGGCACTGTAGATGCTTGCATCACAGACAGCTTCACAGGGAGTTTTATAGGGATTCTTCTGGATTGTTCTTTTTTGACACCAAGGAGACAAGGAGCTCTCAATCTGGTATTTATTCATTTTTAAAATATTTGTTAATTTAGCATGTATGCATATATGTGTGTGTACATTGTGTACCTGTGGAGGTCAGAGGATGACCTATTCCTATTCCTATACTATTCCCCTCCTGTGGATTACATGAAAACTTTTAAAATTTCATGGTGATTTATCTGTACTACTGAATAATACATTAATATAGTCAATTTCAGTGTCTGCTGCAAGTATTACAACTTCTCATACTTGGTTGATTTTGACATATTAAATTATTTTTAGCAGTACAGAAATCTCACTCCTTTTAGGTCTGCTGAACCTCTTAGTAAAAATACATTTTTAAGTATTTCAGCTGCAGAGGGGGAGCATTATGTTAGATGGCATTTATTTTTTGAGGCTTCCATACTGAAACATAATTTTTAAGGCACATAAAGGACTGGGGAAATAGCTCAGCAGTGAAGAGGGCTCACTGATCTTCATGAAGACCCAGTTTGGATTCCAAGGATTCACATCAGTGCTCTCACAGCCACCTGTAACTGTAGTGCCAGGGTTCACACATCCTCTGGCCTCCATCAGCATGTGTCCACTGGCACTAGGCACACACATGGTGCACAGCAAACTCACACAAGCACACACATACACACATATATAAAAATAAATAAATGTGTAAAAACATAAGGTAGTCCATTTCACTCATCCATATTTTTACTCACTTTAATTTTTTTCTCCTTTCTTCATAGAATGTTCTGGTCCCTATAAACAGGAGGCCAGAAAGCTATTAGAACATGATGGTGAACAGGCATTTTGAGAGGAATACTTGCATATAACGCCCTTGTAAAGCCTTAAAAGGCAACAAGGTCAGTGCTTTTAAACCTGTAACCATAGGGAAGCATGAGGATTTCTTGCTTCATTAAATATGTGGGGTTTTCACGGTATTTGGTTTAGTTTAGTTTACATAACAAAAATAGGTGAAGAAAATAAGGGCATTTAAGCACACTAGTGAGTGGGGGGGTCATAAACAAGGAGCAAACTTGTTTAGCAACCAGGATAAACAGTTTAAAGGAGACATTCTTAGAAATCCAGGGACTATGTTGAAATTTGCCAACAACAAAATACATGGCACCACTAAATATAATAGAAAACAATTTATCTGAAAATGGTTTTGATGGCACTCAACGGTACAGTTACAGTTCTGTTTGAATTCAAGAAAGGTGCAGTGTTAAATTGACTCTATACTCTGAAGATACTGAGGAAGAATGATGGAGGTGTGCATAGGCCTGGGCTTCTGAATATAGTTCCTGTACATCAGCAAAGGGGTCAAATCCTGCTAAGTCTCCATTGTCCTAGGGGATTCACATGGGGGAAACTCTGGCACTAACACCTTCTAAACCTCTTGGTCCTTGAGCAGAGGCACTGAGCAGCCAGAAAGGTGGTGAAGATGAACTCATACTGAGTGCTGCTGGTTAGTGTGGGGACCTAGGCTCAACAAAGCCCTGCCACAGGAAACCAGGGGCAGCAACTCAAAACCAGCAGCCACAGGCTTCCCAGAGGAGACGGGCGGGGCCCTTTCTCGACCACTGAAAATAATGAGCCAGCATGCAGCGGGGTCTCCTGATCAATCATCCCAGAGCCTTGGGCGAGGGGGGGCGGAGCTGAGCAGCCTCAGGTCTAGCGGGAGGTTGCCCAGCGACTGAGGCGGCTCGGGAGCATGGGGGGATGGGGTGGGGGATGGGGTGAGGGTGGGGGTGGAGTGGGGGTAGGGGTGGGGGGGGGTGGGACGACTGTGGCTGCAGGGTCCCTGGAGCCTGAGGGTAGGCCTGTGGATGGTGGGGTCTGCGGGGCCAGTAGCACTGGCTTGGCTCTGGACAGGTGAGCGGGCAAGCTAAGCCTATGATGGTGACAATGGCCCTGTCAGCTGCAGCGGCGGCGGCAGCCCTATCCGGCCTGGCAATGCGACTTTCGCGTTGGGCTGCGACGCGCGGCTCCTATGGCGCCTTCTGCAAGGGGCTCACGCGCACGCTGCTCACCTTCTTCGACCTGGCCTGGCGGCTGCGGGTGAACTTCCCCTACTTCTACATGGTGGCCTCCGTGATGCTCAACGTCCACCTGCAGGTGCGGATCGAGTGAGCCTTCGCCCGCCACCGCCGCGGGCCCTCGGCACCGTCCGCGCCACCCGTGTCACCCGCGCCAGGGCCGCATGAAGGACCGTGGGTGGCCGCGCGGTGCCCCGAGACCGCGGCGGGGGGCGCAGGCGGGACGGCCCGGGCCCCTCCGTTTTAGGCCTCCTCTGGGGGCACAAGGTACCGCATCCCATACCGCAAAAAACCTTCACAGCCCCGTCCTTTTCCACCGCTGCATCCAGAGAATCACCCGAGCCTGGCAAACCTGTTGCCTCCCCTTAGCAGAAAGGGGGGAAGCCCGAAAGAGGGGATGCTACCGCAGCATTCACCAGGCCCTGTGCAGGAAGGTAGGCGCAGACAGGTTGGAAAGGAGGGTGGTGGGCTGGACTCGTTTGTGGGAATAGGGAATACACCATGACACACACCTGCTGCTTAGCCACGCTGGGAAACTGCAAAGGTAGGCGAGGCCCTCCCATGTTCCCTGGTGGTGGTTAGATGATAGGGCATTGGGCGGCCGTGGCGACATGGAGGGTCACTTCACCGCCAACACACACACACACACAGAGCCCCTCCTACCCACCCTCCAGACCTCAAGTCCCTATTTGTTTTGTAGAGCTTCCTGAGATGTCACCTGAACCCTGACTGGGAGAAATGGGCAGTGAGCCAGCAGGGAGGTCCTACAAGAGTAAGGATTTGTCCCGTGTCTGGTGGTCAGAAAAAAAAAATGAGTTCTTTTCTGACCCGGACCGCAAGTCTGCCCCTTCTTTGCTTGGAGGCCCAAAGGTAGTCTCTGCAGGTCTGCGCGCCCTTCTGCAGACAGCCTCGTGCACTGTGGGGAGGGGGCAGGGGACTGTCCTCTCTGCCTGCTCCTCCTGCTCTCCCTCTTGCTCCCATAACCTGGTCTGGGGCATTCCTGAGGCTCTGCATCTGCAGACCTGAAAGAATGGAAATGGTTGGTTACAGTCCTCTCTTTCCCCCACAGCCTGCGTCCTCCATCCTCCCTGTCTGCCCAGGCTCCTGGCAGCACCTGCCATGACAGTGGTAAGACCCAGAAGCCCATCCACCAGCCACGAGCAGCCTGGCAGCTGTGTGAACAGGGTCTGGGGAAGTGGGAAGGGCTCCAGGAGCAGGCCTCTGCTGTCAGAAGGGGGGGTGAGGGTGGGGGAGTGCACTGCAGGACAACTGAAGTCTCCCTCTTGTTTCCAGGCCTTGGCCTTCTAGGTGAAGGATGGCTCACCCTTCCCTGGTCATTGCAAGATGGATCCCTAGGTAGAGATGCCTGCCATTGTTTCTGCAGCAGCCCAGGGAGCAGCTGAGTGAAGAGCCCACCAAGAAGAGGAAGGGGTCTTTCTGGTAGAGGCCTAGAGGGGTGGGGAGGCTCAGGTCTTTTGGCCCCACCATGCAAACCATGCCAGTGAACCTTGGGTATGATGTCTCCTAGCAACACTGTGAGGGAGAGGACTCTCCCACCTCAAGAGCTCAATGGCGCTCAAGGAAGGGCCTGGGATTTGTCCTTGTTACACCCAGAGGAGAGAGGGGCTCACCTGCCCTGGGCCTGCATCCCCCACCCCTGAAGGCTTCTTCCCGACCTGACAGGACACTGATGTCGGGAGGGAGCAGAGTTGCCAGTGCACCGAGGGAGAAAGCGAGACCGTGGGATACGGAGGTTGGGCATCCGTCTTTCCTTTCCTAGAAGACAGGTGAATCGTTCAGCTTGTGAACAGAGAAGGTCCATGAACTTCCTGAAATGTCTAGTCCTCCTCAACTCTCTGGTGCTTGACAATGGGCTCCCTGGCAGTTGTCTGACAGTGGACTGCCATGATGGCATGGTGGTTCATGGGAGGGTGGCGAGCTGCTGGCAGAGACCCATGGAGTGGCCCGTTTCTCTGTTCCCAGACTTGCAGCCCCATCACATGGGGAAATCTCATCCAGATAGGCCTAGGACAGCCTGTCCAGGAGGCCCTGCATAGGCTAGAGTCCCCAAATGCCCAAGGAAGGGTGTCCCAAGGGATACGTTTACTACTTAACCCGCACTCCCCAGCTTCTCTGGCACTGGTATCTCAAGGTCCATGCATTCCATTCTTGATACGGAAACCTTGAGTATGCCTGCCATCTCTGGGGACAGTTGCCCAACTCTCTCTTTGGAGTCAGGGACCCAAATGAAGATGTCAGTCTGTCTCTGCTGAAGGTCACAAGCTGAAAAGTGGCTGCCACGTGATCTCTGCTCTTTGGAATAGCCCAGGACTGATAACTTTCTTGCTTCTGCCAGGTTGCACTGAGTGGTCTGTGTATGTATAAATACTTGTGTGTGAACATATTTATGTTGGGGATGGCACAGCTGAGGAGGAGCTTCACAGGTGTTCTGCCCTTGCTGTAGAGGGCCTTGACCTACACCTACGGGGAGAAATGAGTATGGAGTCTGAGGCCGGGCCTTCATAGCCCTCCCGCTCCAGGGAAGCCCTCCCTGCCCACGCCCAGGCATGGGCTATGCTGTGAGGTCAGAGGCACTGGCTTTGGGCTGGCCCCCGGGACCCTGAGTGTCAGCCAGGAGCTAGGATCGGCTTTGTGTTCCTGACCCATTCTGGCCCTCAGTAGTCTGTGAGCGTCTGCTTTCCCTGCCGCCTTGGCTACTTTTGCCCCTCCATGGTGCCCTGGCTGTGTGATGGGGTCGTGATGCACTTTATTCACTTGCAGTCTGTATTGCAGGCAGCGGAGCTTCAAGCAATTCAGAGACCTGACCTGGATGCGCGTACATTTATTTCCATGTGTGACGAACTGCACTGCCAGCGCTGACTGGTCACAGATGCAGTGTCTGATGTTGTCACTCATTGTCTCCCCAGTTAAAAGAAAACCCTTGAGTTCAGTACACCAAATACTGCCTGGATGCATCCGGTTTTTCTTGGGTGCCATGCCATTCCCTGGGTGGGGTAGTGGGTGTGGTTCGGGACAGCAAGCTCCATCCAGAGCTGAACAGGGAAACCGCATCATCAGAGCCTCCTTCTAGAGCCCCTTTGACAGGACCACCAACCACCCTGTGCTCCCCTGCAACAAGTGGGGAATGGTCGAACCAGGCCCAGAATGTTCCAGTTGTTCTTGTTCAGTGTTGAGCGAAAGAAGCTGAAGTAAAGGCTTCTCTTTCTTTCCAGGGTCTGGACTCAATGTGTTTACTTGCATCCGAACAAGGAGTAAGGGGAAGGAAGCAGCCTTGTGCACGGTACTCTCTGCATCCTAGGGGGAAGGAAGCAGCCTTGTGCACGGTACTCTCTGCATCCTAGACAGCCATCCGCAGGAGCAGGCAGTACAGTCCTCACTGGCTTTGGCTGCTGCTTGCTAGGGAACCCTGAGAAGTTAACCACCCACCACAGGCTGGAGCTGGATGTGTGCTGTCCTCTCATAGCCTCGACTCTGTTCTCTCAGACCTCTATTCTGAGGGTTAGCAGACAAACCAGGAACCCTAGGCCTGAGGTGAGGTGGCATTCAGGCAGAGGGCAGGAGGCTCAATGGGGAGGAGGCTGGGGGAGGTGGGACAGTAAGACTATAAGAGTCTCCCCTGTGAAGGCTAGGGAGGAGGCAGGCAGGAAGGCAGGAAAGGCCCCAGGAAGACCGAGGGCTCTGTGGGGGCCTGGAGGAGGATAGGAAGGTTTTCTGGGAGAGAAGAAGCCAAAGGAGCAGGAAGGAGGCTGCAGGGAGCTGCAGAATGGGATAGGAAGCTCTGCTCTGGGTACTGTAGACCTTGGGGGAAAGCAAAGAGCTCAGGGCGAAGACAAAAAGCTGAGCGGGTGACCACGAGGGACATGAAGAGGCTAGTGAGGACTACAGGCTATGTGTGTTGGGGTAAGGGGAGCGAGAGTGGAGGAGAAGGTAGGAAAATGGCCGGGTTTAGGATTCTAGGAAAGGTGAGAACAGGCTGTGGAGAAGGTAGCTAGGCACCAGGTGTCTGCAGAGGTGAAATAAGAGGTTGAGGGTGAAGAACAGGATGAGGGGGCTTAGAGCTGGAGATCAGGACAGTGTAAGACTCTTGAAGAGGGCAGAAGGCTGGGGAGGGAGATTGAGGGATGATGGAAGGCTGGGAGAAATCCAGACTCTGAGAGGGAGGCCAGGGGATCAGAGTGAGGCCTGGAAGCTGTGGGTTGGGGCGTGAGCAGGAACCAACTGTAGAGGAACTTAAGAGTTCTGGGGGGAGGACCTGGTGCTGAGAGGGGTTAGGAGCTTGACAGAGGACAGGAGGGCAGGCTGGAAGGTACCAACTTGGGGAAGAGCACTGGAGGGAAGAAGGCTAGTCACACAGGCAGGGGTCTATATATCCTTGACTCTGGGTAGAATGATGGAGATGAGGATCACACAGGCAGGGGTCTATATATCCTTGACTCTGGGTAGGAAGATGGAGACGAGGATCACACAGGCAGGGGTCTATATATCCTTGACTCTGGGTAGGAAGATGGAGACGAGGATGAATTCTAAAGCATATGATATAGTCAGGGAGAATGGTGGGGCCTAAGCATGAGGAGACCAGGATGATAGTGGAGAAGGACTAAGGAAAGAGATGTTAGAAGAAAATCAAGTGGATAGATGAGAGCCCAAGGATGCAACTGAGGAGAGAAAGACCTGCAGGAAGACGGCAAGGCCTTAAGGGGGATAGAAGCAGTGTAGGCGTAGTTTCTCAGGAATGGAGGAGGCAGGGGGAGAGGGAGGGAGGAGGAGAGCAGGCTGCTCAGGCAAGGGTATGAAGCTGGGGGAAGGAGGACTAGAAGGCAAGCAGGAATGTGAGGGTATCTGAGTCCATTAGCTTCAGATCAGGGGGCAGAGGATGATCCAGGCTTTGGAGGAAGTAGCAGGCTACAGAGGAGTACAGGGAGAGACATGGGACTGAGTCTAAAGGGCAGAGTGATAGTCTGCAGAGGGACACAGAAGGCCCAAAGACCAGGAAGGACGCTGATGGGGCAGAAAGCCCTGGGAGAGGAGAAGGACACTAGGGCAAGAGAGAAGAACCAAGGGGATCCAGGACCTGGACAGAAGGCTGGTGTGGAGCATAGACGCTTCACGGTGGAGGGTAGAGAATCGGGAGTGACAGGATTCTGGGGAGGGGACAGGGCCTGGAGACATAGAATGCTGGGGAAGAAAAGTGAGGACTCTAAGATTCTAAAAGATTGGGGAGGGGTCACAGACTCATCCAAGGGTAGGAAGTAGGGTGCTATGCCTGGAGAGGGTAGTAGGAAGGAGACTATGAAGCAGGATGAGGAAGGCCAGGGATCAGGCCAGAAGACCAGACCAAACATTGGAGGATGAAGAGGACGGCAGAGGAAAGGAGAGGACACGAGTATTAGGAAGAGTCCAGGAGTCTGGGCACAAGGGCAGAACTCCATTGACAAAATAAACAAGAGCCCAAGGGTGAGTTCGGAAGACTGGGAGGTTTCCTATAGATACAGTAGACTGAAGAAGAAGAAGAGAAGATGACGTTGATGGTAGGTCACTGGGGAACAATGCAATTGAGCAGAATGTAGATAAAGAGGAGGAGAGAGATAAAGAGGGTATATTGGTCAGAGGACAGCAAAAGTTCGGGAAAGGGCAGAGAGTTCAGGGGCAGGCTAGAGGCAAAGGCAAGACGCCAGACACTGGAGGGTGCTGAGGATACAGGTAGCATGGAGGGGAGTTAGAATGACAGAGGAAAAAGAAGATGAAGTTGAGGACAAGGTGTTGGAGATGACAGGGACTAGGGAGGAGGGACAAATGGAAATGCCAGGAGACGCACCAAGTGCTTATCGGTGAAGAACATGGTCAGAGTGTAGCAAGACTAAGATGTCCTGGAAGGATGTGAACTTTTGGCTATTTGTGACTAGTGAGTGGAGACCAGAAGCTCTGGAAATTGTAAAGCCTGGGGAAAAGAGGTTCATGAGGGAGTCTAAATGATGGGGAAGCAAACAAAGTCAGCTGGGGGGAACAGGCAATAGGCTAGCTTACTTAAGACTCAGTATGAGGGCATCCGGTTCCAGGAAGTCCCCAGAGACACCCGGATGTGAGTGGACTGCAGAGGACACCATGAGGGATGGAGGTTCAGAATATAGGTAGGTGCTCCGCAGGAGAATATAGGGCTTGAGAATACATGAGGATAATGGCAATTGGGGCATAATGGAGAAGGGAAGGAGGGTAGGGAGAAGAAGAGGACCAGGGGAGAAATTAAGAGCATGGGAGGAGGGGGAAAAGACACTGTGAATGCTAGACACTAAGGGAAATGCAAGAGGTACAGGGGTGAGCAGATGCCAAGAGTAGAGGCCAGAGGTGGGAAATGATGGCCAAAGTCTGGAGGATTGGGGATGCAGGGTCTGGGGACAGGGGTGGGAGCCTTCTGTGGGTGGAAAGAGATAGGACAGAAGTGTGTTCCTGGGCAGGGCAGAGCCTTGGGGAGCAGAAGCACACCAGGTCACCTAGGATTCTGAGCACCAGGCCAGGAGGATCCTGTCGAAACTAAGCAGATGGAGAACAGACATACAGCATGACAGAGGTCCAAGGACAATGTAGATGACGGGGCAAAGGCCAGCATCTGGGTTGGGATGTCAGGAACTTGGGGAAAACAGGGTAAATGCCTGGGGCAGAAGGCAGCATCCTCAGGAATTTCACATCAGAGAGTGAAGTGAGGAAGGAATCTAGGAATCAGAGCTGTGTAGGGAGACTGGAAAGTGGGGGGAGCGTCT